AATAAACCCTTTTAGCGATCTCTTTTACGCTGTGTTAGCCTCAAAACCATGTAATAAATTCTTTTATTCACAACAGCCCGTGCAAATGCAAGAGATCTGTGAGTATAGAAGACAATGGAAATAGTTTGAAATCTCAGTCTCAATCTAAATTTCTGAATATTTTAGCACACAATGGAGGCTAACACAGCGTAAAAGAGATCGCGAAACTCAACTATTGATAGCTCAGCCCTTCAAAACACCTGACACAGTGCATGGTTTCCGCTCTGGATGTGCGATCACCCTTGCCCTATACGGATGTGATCTCAAAGATATCATGTCCCACATTGGGTGGAAAACGGAGGAAACCGCCAAATATTACTTACAGATTTCAAAATTCTTAAGTTCAAATTCTCCAGCTGATTTAAATAAGCTATCTTCACTACCGGAAATAAAGCATGAAATTAGCATAACAATAGATATCCCATAATGTCTTTGCAGTGTATTAATAAGCGTTATCTGCACGCTTTGTTCATTCCGATTGAAACCACGGGCACATACTGGTATAATTCCCCCACCCACCCTACCCACGACATGGCGTTGAACCTGCAACACTCATGGATATACCGCTGTCCACACTTTCGTGTCCAGCAGTCTTTTCAGACCTGTCCATATCTCATTGTATATTCATGTGTATTGTAGGTAATGATAATATTGTACTACCGTTTTTTAGCAACGTGAGATTTAGCCTAAAACTGCGTTTTCTCGGGCTACCAATGAAACAAAAGAATATGTTGATTGGTTTTGGAGCTAACACAGAGCAAACCAGAACTCGAAATCGGAGTATTTTGAATAAMTGAGATTGAACACATAATTATAYATGGCAATCCCGAGAWTCTTAGCAGGCTCAAGAATGTGGACTGAGTCCTGGTGACGASGTTTTTTGAAATAGGTGTAGAGGAGTACCGGTTGYACGTTGCACTCCGTCACTGTCCGTGGCCTATAAAGTGAACATGATTAGACGCACAATTTTCCGCAGTCTGACTTCAGAAACTCGGTGGTATAATGGTATAAGACGGTGCAGATAGTCTGGAGTACATAATCAGGAGTATATCAGGATTATATCATCTAGGCATAAGTGATCACTCTCTAGTGTTTACGACCCGGAGCTCGCTACGAGCGAGTGCCTCATCGTATTATCAAAATGCGTAAASTAAATAACTTTGACGAAGACTCCTTCCTTAGGGATTTGACTCAAATGCCATGGTCAGATKTTGAGCACTATGACGACCCTAATGATATGTGGAAACAATGGAAATCAAACCTAATRTGCTGCATCGATCAACACGCACCGGTGATTAATAAGAAAATCSGAAAAAGAAATTCCCCGTGGATTATCGCTGAGATAAAATCTAAAATGCACCAGAGGGACTCCCTAGAAGTAAAAGTGATCACGACAAATAGTGAGCTTGACTGGGAAAGCTACAAAAAGGCTAGGAATTCCACCAACAATGCCATAAGACTAGCTAAGAAAAACGATTATATCTCTAACCTAGAAAATAGCAGGTCTTTATTTAATTAACGAATTAAACTCGCGCAAGTCATCTAAATCACAAAATATATCTGAGCTTAGGTTTGGCGAACAAAAAATCACTTCTCCAAGTGATATTGCGGAATCATTCAATGACCACTTTACGAACATAGCTCAGACATTAGCTAATGACCTACCATCCTCAAACACTAAACCAGAATTCTATTTATGGCCTGCAAGTACAGTCTTTTCTATTCAACCACCAAATGCTCAAACTGTTTATAATCTTCTAAGTAGCATTGATGAAAAAAAAGCTGTAGGCTTGGATGGCATTCGTAACAAATTGATAAAGATGGCGGCCAAGATCATTGGACCATCTCTGGCAAAAGTTTTTGGTCAATCTATAAAGAAATGCATCTTGCCATGCGATTGGAAACTTGCTAGAGTTACGCCCATCTTTAAAAAAGGCGATAAAAACGATGTTAACAATTATAGACCGATTTCTGTTGTGTCTACAAGTTTGTGTTCAACCAACTCTATTCGTATCTTGGCGAAAATGATCTTCTAGCGTCTTGCCAGTCGGGCTTCCGCACTCTGCACAGTACTCTAACTGCTCTAATTGAAGCTTCTAAACATTGGTCGGTCAATATCGACAAGGGCTTATTTAACGGTGTTATCTTTGACAGTATTGACCACGAGATCTTACTTTCCAAACTAGTCAATTACGGAGTAGATGAACTATCACTTACCTGGTTTAGTTCTTACTTAACTAATCGGTTACAGAGAACTTGTGTAAACGGAAGTCTGTCTGGTCCACGTGCGGTAAAATTTGGCGTGCCACAGGGTAGCAACCTTGGACCACTTCTCTTTCTAATTTTCACCAATGATCTACCTAACAGTTTGGACACAGTGGCGGCACGTATGTTTGTAGATGACACAAACATTAGTGTCCACGGTGAAAGTATCAAYGAAATCGAGCCAGCACTTAACTCTGAAGTTGAAAACATTCATAAATAGCTGCTTTACCAACAAACTATGTCTTAATGTTGCTAAAACTGAATTTATGGTTATTGGTTCACGCCAAAAATTTACCGCACATTGTGATCAAACAATCGCAGTAAAAATTGACGAAAATGAAATCCAAAAAGTCGATTGTCCTAAATCACATTAGGCGTTACCATTGACAAAAAATTGAATTGGTCTGTGCATATTTAATTAAGGAATAAAAGACGAAATTCCGTGTTTGATACTCTGATCAAAACACGCGGGATGTAGGGAGAGCACGAGAGAAGCGTAGGAAACCACGAGCTTTTCGAGTGCTCTCCCTACATCCCAAGTGTTTTGATCAGAGTATCAAACACGGAATTTCGTCTTTTATTTCTTTTCTAAAATTAAAAGAAAACAAGAAATTTTTGACGTGCGCGAGCGTGTTTTGATACTGTAATCAAACATGGTTTTCGACCAATCACAGCACGCATAGTATCCTAAGTATTTTAGAAACTGTAATCAAACATGGTTTTCGACCAATCACAGCGCGCGTAGTATCCTAAATATTTTAGAAAATGTCGTTAAGAAGGTTGCATCCTGTATAGGAGCCTTAAAACGTGTGAGACCTTTTATTTCCCGCGAAAAAGCAATTCAAATTTACAAAGCGCTTATTCTCCCCCACTTTGACTATTGTAGTGCAATGTGGGGTGGACTAAGCAATGAGCTAAACGATCGATCGACTTCAAATACTTCAAAACCGCGCAGCTAGATTGATCACAAAAACTAATTATGATACACGATCTACCCGCTTGCTATTCGTCGAGACAAACAAAAAGGCAACTCTTATGTTTAAGACAATACGCAAGTGCGTCCCAAAATACTTACAAAATCTTTTTGATGACAAAGCGCTTAAGTATGATTTACGAAACCAACAACACGCACTATCACTTCCTAAGCCACGTACTGAATATTTTAAAAAAATCCTTTAGCTACAGTGGC